ATATTTGAAAAGGAGAAGAACAATGCCCACTGTTTCCAGCAGATGGCCCTCTTACTCTGTCCCATTACTGTGAGAGTGAGTGCTGAGTGCACTCAATAAAGATTCAAAACCAGAATCGACAAAACTCAACACAAACTATAGAGAGATTTAGTAGGCTAATTGAATATGCACCTGAGCAAGAATACGATTACATTTCAGCTAAGCATTCAACACCACCATCATCCTCCAGCAGCTGATTTGTAAACTAACAAAACTTGGCCTTAGCCCCTCTCTCTGCAACTGGCTGCTGGACTTCCTCACTGCCAGACAGCAATCTGTACGGGTCGGCGATAACACATAGGTCTGCTCAGCCCCCTGCTCTTCACCCTGCTGACCCACGACTGCACACCCACCTACAGCTCCAACTACTTCCTCAAGTTTGCGGATGACAGCAGAACTATGGTGGGTCGCATCAGCAACAACGACGAGACCCACTACAGGAAGGGGGTGAACCAGCTTGCCTCGTGTTGCAAAGATAAACATTTTTAGTATTTCTATGTGTCTATGTTTGATTATGTATCCAAGACTGATCTCCAGACTGTGAGCAGCAATGTGTATGTCTGATTATTGCATGTTATCAGATACAATTATACGTTTATTGTGTTTGCATTACCAATTTTACCTCCCCGTTTATTTGTACATATTAAAGCTTTTGCGATGGCCGGGAATCGAACCCGGGTCAACTGCTTGGAAGGCAGCTATGCTTACCACTATACCACCATCGCCTTGTACTGTCGAATTGGTGGTGGTAGATTTTTTTTTTCAACCGTCACTCAAAACCATAGGATAAATCTGCAAAGAAAGGAGTGTAACAATGAGTACCCTCTCTAAATTCACAATTTTCACCAGGACCTAGCGACTACCAACATCTCTTTTGGTAGGACTACTTACCAAAATATATTTGAAAAGGAGAAGAACAATGCCCACTGTTTCCAGCAGATGGCCCTCTTACTTTGTCCCATTACTGTGAGAGTGAGTGCTGAGTGCACTCAATAAAGATTCAAAACCAGAATCGACAAAACTCAACACAAACTATAGAGAGATTTAGTAGGCTAATTGAATATGCACCTGAGCAAGAATACAATTACATTTCAGCTAAGCATTCAACACCACCATCATCCTCCAGCAGCTGATTTGTAAACTAACAAAACTTGGCCTCAGCCCCTCTCTCTGCAACTGGCTGCTGGACTTCCTCACTGCCAGACAGCAATCTGTACGGGTCGGCGATAACACATAGGTCTGCTCAGCCCCCCGCTCTACACCCTGCTGACCACGACTGCACACCCACCTACAGCTCCAACTACTTCCTCAAGTTTGCGGATGACAGAACTATGGTGGGTCTCATCAGCAACAACGACGAGACCCACTACAGGAAGGGGGTGAACCAGCTTGCCTCGTGTTGCAAAGATAAACATTTTTAGTATTTCTATGTGTCTATGTTTGATTATGTATCCAAGACTGATCTCCAGACTGTGAGCAGCAATGTGTATGTCTGATTATTGCATGTTATCAGATACAATTATACGTTTATTGTGTTTGCATTACCAATTTTACCTCCCCGTTTATTTGTACATATTAAAGCTTTTGCGATGGCCGGGAATCGAACCCGGGTCAACTGCTTGGAAGGCAGCTATGCTTACCACTATACCACCATCGCCTTGTACTGTCGAATTGGTGGTGGTAGATTTTTTTTTTCAAACCGTCACTCAAAACCATAGGATAAATCTGCAAAGAAAGGAGTGTAACAATGAGTACCCTCTCTAAATTCACAATTTTCACCAGGACCTAGCGACTACCAACATCTCTTTTGGTAGGACTACTTACCAAAATATATTTGAAAAGGAGAAGAACAATGCCCACTGTTTCCAGCAGATGGCCCTCTTACTCTGTCCCATTACTGTGAGAGTGAGTGCTGAGTGCACTCAATAAAGATTCAAAACCAGAATCGACAAAACTCAACACAAACTATAGAGAGATTTAGTAGGCTAATTGAATATGCACCTGAGCAAGAATACGATTACATTTCAGCTAAGCATTCAACACCACCATCATCCTCCAGCAGCTGATTTGTAAACTAACAAAACTTGGCCTTAGCCCCTCTCTCTGCAACTGGCTGCTGGACTTCCTCACTGCCAGACAGCAATCTGTACGGGTCGGCGATAACACATAGGTCTGCTCAGCCCCCCGCTCTACACCCTGCTGACCACGACTGCACACCCACCTACAGCTCCAACTACTTCCTCAAGTTTGCGGATGACAGAACTATGGTGGGTCTCATCAGCAACAACGACGAGACCCACTACAGGAAGGGGGTGAACCAGCTTGCCTCGTGTTGCAAAGATAAACATTTTTAGTATTTCTATGTGTCTATGTTTGATTATGTATCCAAGACTGATCTCCAGACTGTGAGCAGCAATGTGTATGTCTGATTATTGCATGTTATCAGATACAATTATACGTTTATTGTGTTTGCATTACCAATTTTACCTCCCCGTTTATTTGTACATATTAAAGCTTTTGCGATGGCCGGGAATCGAACCCGGATCAACTGCTTGGAAGGCAGCTATGCTTACCACTATACCACCATCGCCTTGTACTGTCGAATTGGTGGTGGTAGATTTTTTTTTTCAACCGTCACTCAAAACCATAGGATAAATCTGCAAAGAAAGGAGTGTAACAATGAGTACCCTCTCTAAATTCACAATTTTCACCAGGACCTAGCGACTACCAACATCTCTTTTGGTAGGACTACTTACCAAAATATATTTGAAAAGGAGAAGAACAATGCCCACTGTTTCCAGCAGATGGCCCTCTTACTCTGTCCCATACTGTGAGAGTGAGTGCTGAGTGCACTCAATAAAGATTCAAAACCAGAATCAACAAAACTCAACACAAACTATAGAGAGATTTAGTAGGCTAATTGAATATGCACCTGAGCAAGAATACGATTACATTTCAGCTAAGCATTCAACACCACCATCATCCTCCAGCAGCTGATTTGTAAACTAACAAAACTTGGCCTCAGCCCCTCTCTCTACAATTGGCTGCTGGACTTCCTCACTGCCAGACAGCAATCTGTACGGGTCGGCGATAACACATAGGTCTGCTCAGCCCCCTGCTCTTCACCCTGCTGACCCACGACTGCACACCCACCTACAGCTCCAACTACTTCCTCAAGTTTGCAGGTTAGAAGCTGTCATAAGCTAACAGATGATTTGCCTTAAGACTATCATAGTTAATGTTAGCTAATCACACTTCATTTCAAGACACCGGAATTGTTATTAATGTTAAACAAATACAACTTTAAAAGCACTTCACATTACTCACACTCTCTGCGTTGTCGTTCATATTCATGTCTCCTGCTCGCTAGGTGGCAGTGTCACGAAAAACTAGGGTCCTGGGAGTGCGTCTCCGACGCTGCAGCTTCATGCTACTCGTTTTTTCCAACATTCACTCAAAACCTTAAGTTAAAACTGCAAAGAAATTAGTGTAACAATGAGTTACCTCTTATTTATTCACCCTTTTCACCAGGACCTAGCGACTCCCAACAGCTCTTTTGGTAGGACTACTTACCGAAATACATTTGAAAAGGAGAATAACAATGCCCACTTTTTCCAGCAGATGGCCCTCTTACTCTGTCCCAACTATATAGAGATTAAATAGGCTAATTTAATATGCACCTCAGTGAGAATACGATTACATTTCAAGATTTAAGTTTTTACAGGAATATTTTAGCCCACTTTTGTTAATTTGTTTCAAGAAAGGATATACATAAGAGCATTTTTACATTACATGAAGCAAAGAACCCATATTATTTTGACCCCTGACAGTTTAGCTATGTGACTGGAGTATTTTAATACCTCCGTATGTGGTTTGATTTGCATTTCTAGCTGACCCCTTGGCTTCAGACACTATGTTTCTAAATAATATGCTCTTGTATGTTTAAATAAAAACTTTTCTCCCATTTATTTAAAGTCCCATTTTTCTACAAGCCCTTTGAATGACCCTAGACTTTTTTAGACCACAAAAGTCACTATTCTTGTTTAGAAAAATCATTGCTTTAAAGAAAAAAAAACAATATAAGTAAATTAAATGGATTTCAGGACAGCAACAATACTTCTATTGTCCATCAAAGTAATTTTCTATTTTTATTTCAATTATTGAAAATGTTTGTATTATCATTATTCAAATGTTTATGCTTATTATTAGTTATTTATAAAAACTCAAATGAATTAAAAAAAAAATGAGTTAAATAATCATTAGAATATTTCAACAACACATAACGTTTGTTAATAAGCAGGGCTCCGTTAGACTCTTTAGACTTTTCATGGACACAATGCAGAACAATGTTAAAATTAACTACTCTAAAATACATATTCTGAACTACTTTGGCCTCTTTATAAATGAAGCGGTAAATTAAAGGTCCAGTTTCGGGTTAAACATCAAGCTCTTTAAATCAATAACTCATATTTTGATGCACTCCAATCATTGGAAAGCAGCCAGGCCTTTTGAAGGTCCTATGACTTGGTTCCTCAGTTCTCTACAAACACATTTATGCATGATTTATTTGTCCTATTATGTGCTGTAAAGCATGATACATTTTAATGATTTTTACTGGGGTAGGTCATGTGAGCAATATGTTTATGACACAGACAGAGTAGTGCTGGTTTCTTTCTATGGGCACATTCCACTAATCTTTTTCCTCAAATATAACATCAATTAATCAAATTAACAAAATCAGAGACAAAATGTTTCATGCAAAGACTTTTATTTATGAATAGTCTGCAGTACTGTACAATAGCACACACTTGTCTCTATTTCTGATCATCACTCTCAATGATCATTTCAAATATAGACCAATATTGTGCCTTCAAAAACAGTTCCCTTTTCACAATAATCTAAAAATACCTTGTTCTGTTTTAAATATGTAGTATAACTTCTTGAAAATAAAATATACATTATATGAAATATAACAGTTGTTTATTGGATAGACTATATGGTACCAAATGCAATTATATGCAACACACCTTCTCTCTGTGACGTCTTACGCATTTCATGCACAAAAAAAAGAGAAAAAAAGATGCCACACATACAAAAGAAGCTGTACATACTTCTGTATGAAAATAGAAAATATCAAAGCATGATGTGCACCAATAGTCTATATCATGTTACAAAGAACTTGCAGTACAAAAAGACCTACGAGAATGACCAGATAACACATTACCTGGAACACAGAGGTACAGGTACTGGGTTGGTAACAGGACAAAGACTCGCACTGAGCTTCCACTGACAAACTCCAGTCACAGCTACTTCTATGCAAGTCTACGACCAGATCAACATCAAATACTGGATCAAAGAGTGACAGGTTCAAACAGGCAAACCAGAAGTTACAGTTTAGCTTTGAATTTTGGTATTAAACCCAGTAAATGTGGATGTCGAGTCCCACTGCAGTCAGCATGTCGTTGTGTCCCTGGGCAAGACACTTCACCCCAAATTGTTCCTGTGGGGATTGCCCACAGTACTGACTGTATGTAAGTCGCTTTGGATAAAAGCGTCTAACAAATGACATGTAATGTAATGTAATGTCCAATGCATAGCATAAAGTTTAGTTTGGTACGTTTTTAAATGTTATTGTATTGCTACCCCATAAGTGAAGTGAGTGTAAACCAATTGCCAGTTATGCCCACAACACACAAAAGCACTGATATGTCAACATTACATTATTGAACATGTTCAGATACTGTGATTAGTATTCCAACAGCACTGTTCTATACAGCATTAATATTAAGCTTCTTCAGCTGAATATTATTATTATTATTGCCAAAACAACTGTAACAGTTTTTGATTAAAGAATGATTACTGATGTCCAGTTTAAATTAAGATTTGTAAACGGACAATACTGGATGTGTTACACACGAATGGAGTTCACAGAAACAGTGTGTACAAGGCACACTGCAATCAATATAGCTACATCTATCACTTCCTGCAGAAAAAGCACTTCTGAAATCACACATGAACTAAGAAGCGAACAGAGGAGAACTCAACGGTTAAATATAGACTTCTGTTAATGCCACAAAATATATGTTTTCTTATTCAACAGGATGAGAATGAGCAAAAATAACACTGAAATGACACGTTTCAGATACACGTTGCGATTGCTGGTGCTGAGACTGACGGCGCCGGAGAATGGGGAGGGTGACAACATGAATCCCTCTGAGTGTAATCTCTGAGTATTTGAAGAGATTATCAGGTGCTCACTTGTTACGTAAAGCCAATAATCTCAGCAATGCAAACCTAACACTTGTACCAAACGATAAAGCAGACGCTTAAATGAGATCAGCTCCTTGAAATGGAGATTTACTTCTTAAATCATGTCACAAATATCCCGTATACGACAAATATATTGCTTATAGTGAAACTATTCAAGGACCACAGTGTTTATCATTGCAATCCAGGCTCTCTGAGTACATTCTCTATCACACAAGTATAAGAATAAAGAACAGGGGGTTTTATTATAAGTATTACACACAAAGACCACAATTCCAAAAATCTAGTCTTTTCTTAACATATATAAGAAAATATACATTTCTCCAGCAATTTAATGACTTAAATTGTTTGTTTTTTATATTCTTAATAAAATCTTAAAACTCTTTCTTATTTACATTTGGTGTAGGTTAATACTGATTGTAATGCAATACTGTTGCCTTCCTGTTGTTGGTTTTTTTCTGTTACATTTCTTTTGTATGTTGAGTAGAAACACTTTTACATTCATATTTCAACACCCAAGCTCGAGAAGGAGCCAAAGTGCAGACGGGAATAATGACATGCATTTTCCAAAAGCAAAATAAGACAACTTCAAAAGCAGGAAGTCTGCTTACTTGAGCAAATCAACTTTTGGAGAGGTGGAGAAAATGGAAGGACGAGGATGTCGAGGTTGAAAAGGCCCGGAGAATTGGCACCGACAATGCCTTTTCATTTGGCTGTAAAAAATGCTCTCGCAGCACCAGGACAGTCAGTTCTTTGAGAAGTAATGCGTAACAATATTGAAGGGGGTTACAGCTCACTAAGCCGTGAGGTGTGATGAAAGCCTTTGTTGTTGGGAAAAGCTGTTAACTTGAGAAATACAGATTTCCACTGTTGTGAAGGCAGTGTCAGAGGTTACACTCTCTCCACTCGACTGGGGTCGTAGGAGTCTGATGAGAAAAGAAAGGAGAGAAAAGATGAGAAAACAAAATCGTAACAAAACAGAACAATATTATTTGCCCTGAGGATGTGGAATACAAAGGAACCCTGTGGAGATTTGGCAGTTTGTGAGAGCTTGAGGATTCACACATTGCCTGTCAGTGAGCAACACTAAATGTTAACAGGGACTTTGTTAAAAGTAGGGGGCCAATTTAAAGGAATACATAAACATTTGATAAAATATGCTTTTGTTTTTCAGAATCAGAATCAACTTTATTGCCAGGTACGTTTACACATACATGGAATTTCCTTTGGTGTGAACATAAACAGATCTAAGAAAACAAGTTGCAATAGCAGGTTTACAAATACAAATAAATGTTTTGAAGAAACTATACAAAGACAAGTATTTACACCAAATTTAAATATACAAAGAAAAAGCTAAAAAACTAAAACATTTAGGACAAAGAATATATGGCAATATGGCAAACTACAATGAATTATATTTTAAAGTGGAGATTATATTTTATGTAGCTGCAGTCAGGCCATGCTTAGCCTAGCTTAGCATAAATATAGGAAGCACAAGGAAACAGCTTGCCTGGCTCATTCTAAATAACTAGTAACTAACATTGGGGATGGCAAACCACATACCCACATAAGATCAGCACATAATGCATTGATATATGATAAATACACACTTTATCATCTCACAACAAAAGAGAACATATTTATATAAACATTTTTCTTTTCAGCAATTCCTTTAAAATTAGAATCACAATCTCTTAATTCCTTCAAACTAACCTGAGACAGAGTGCTTCTCCTCATCCTCCATATTTGAGGGGCCACGGGTCCCAGTGCTGAAGCTGACAGGCAGTGTTATTTCTCTCTTGGGAACACTGCGAGGTTTAGGAAGCAGAGGAGGCTTCTGCAGCTTTGTGCGCTGCTTTGGTTTGGGCACCTTTTTCACCTTAGTGCCCTGTGTTGCCTCAGCTCTTCTGACCTCTGCTGTATTCTGGCGCTCTCTCACCTTTTCCAAAGGCTTTTCTTTGCAATCCTCAACAATTTTAAGCTCCATCTTCTCTCCTGGCTCTACTGTTTTTAATTCAACATGTACTTCTTCACTCCCTTCATTTTCTAGTTTTAGTGCAATCTCAACATTCATCTCTTCTGTCTTTTCTTCTTGTCTTTGCTCTTCCTGACATGTCCCTCCATTCGCTTCTTCTTTAGGTTTACAATCTTCTTCAGGATCTCCCAACTTTTCATGTGTTTTATGTGCATTCTCATGTTCATCTGGGTTCTCCTCCACATTCCCTGCTTCTTCATTAAGCTTTGTATCCTCTTCCTCTGCTTGTTTCCCTACAACTTGCTCCTTTGGCACTTCCTGGACTTCATTCTCCTCTCTGTCACCGTCCATTTCTTTAGAATACATTGCTTCCCCAGACTCCGAACCTTTGAGGCTGAGGCGTCTTATTCGAGATACTGAGTCCAGCTCTTTCAGGCGGGCCCTTCTTTCTGGAGTTGACATGTGCAAAGATGTAGAAGAAGCGGAATAATTAAGCTTATCGTGCATGGATTCGATTAGTTTGCATGTCCCACCTCGCCCTTTCCTCTCTACACTGCAAATGCTAAGTGTTAACTTGTCATCAGATGTTACGGGAAGGGAGAGGGGAAGCTTATTAGGTGGAAACTCGGGCAGGTCCAGTACCACCAGGGACTGAATCCCAGTATCCTGGTCACTGTGGTTGCTGCTGTGGTTTTGTCTGTATCCTTCTTGGAGGTCCACTTCTGAACCTCTCCCCTCGACCTCCTCTGCCTTTGCTCCCTGAGCAGTCGGGAGCTCATCTTGGACTTGCTCATGCTCTGCTCCCTGGACAATCACAGGCTCATCTTGGACTTGCTCATGCTCTGCTCCAATCACAGGCTCATCTTTGACTTGCTCATGCTCTGCTCCCTGGAGAATTATGGGCTCATCTTTGACTTGCTCATGCTCTGCTTCCTGGACAATGATGGGCTCATCTTTGACTTGCTCATGCTCTGCTTCCTGGACAATGATGGGCTCATCTTTGACTTGCTCATGCTCTGCTCCCTGGACAATAATGGGTTCATCTTTGACTTGCTCATGCTCTGCTCCCTGGACAATAATGGGCTCATCTTTGACTTGCTCATGCTCTGCTCCCTGGAGAATTATGGGCTCATCTTTGACTTGCTCATGCTCTGCTTCCTGGAAGATCAGGGGTTCATCTTGGACCTGCTCATGCTTTGCTCCCTGAATAATCACAGGTTCATCTTTGACTTGCTCATACTCTGCTATCAACTGCTGTGGCTCTTCGCTTTGGCTTTGTAGTTTCTCGATGACAGTGGTACCCATATCATTAAGGTTGTCCTCTAAAAGTTTGTCAGCCACACCCAAGGCCTCCACAGGAACTGCTATACCCAGGATTCTGGCAGCCCTCTGCTCGATGGACTCATTTTCAGGGATACCTTCTCCAAATTTCACCTCATAGAGCTTGCTGAGGTCTTCGGCAGGTAAAGAATTGGCCTTCTCCTGATTCAGTAAGTTCTCAAGGTGCTTATCTGCTATCGTGGACTCATTCTTGTAGTTCAGAGGCTCAGAGAGGGCATTTCTACCAATGACAGCATCATCCCTTAACAGAAAAGAAACTTCCCTGTTCAGCCTGTTGATATATGATGAACCCTCTTTATGTGGTGATGCACTGCTTTCACTCCTGGTTCTATAGATGCCTAAATTCACCTCGCCCCTGAATGGTGGTGATTTCACCTTTCTCTCAGTTTTTACCTTAGCTTGAAGTTCTTTATTTGATTTGTGCTCAGGGCTACCGCTATTTTTAACAAGTGCTGTCCTGCTCTCCAATGGGAGCTGCATTGACTGACTAAGCTCCTTATGACCAAGTGGAGATGGGACTGAGAGTGAGCGCTGCATTGGCTCCCCAGGACCCCCAGGAGTCTCTGTGTAGACGGTTAATCCCACATCCCTCAGCAAGGACTCTTGAGGGACTGGGATATCCTGTCTATAGAGCCGGCTTGACTCATTGTGTTTTGGTAGTGAGGGCTGGAGGCAACTGTCTTTGGGGTCAGGGTTGGAGAATATGGGTAGCTCATTTGTTGGTGGTATGTTGTTGGCCTGTGGCCTGAAGAAAGCACTCTTTAAGTCCAGTGAGTCCGAATCAGGGGTGGAAGCCAAGGACTTTGATCTGACTTTTATACTGGGTTTTTCTGTGTGCATTATTGGAAAACTGATTGCTTCCCTAACTGATTCTGGTCCAGCAATGAAATGTGCTCCTGAATGTAGGTCTAACATCTTATTCAACCCATCTAGATCGTCAATGCACTGACCCACATTGGGTCTCTTGCTGATTGTTTCTTCCATCTCCTTATTAATGGTCTCCAGTTCATCAATGGCATCACAGGGTCGTCGATTCACTGGCTTTAAGAGAAACTGACCAAAGGTCACTTGCTCTTCATCCTCCAGGGGACTGGAGGTGCTCTTCTTCGGGGAAGATGCCTGATCCTGGGCCTTTGTTTGTGGTAGAGGGTCTCGTGAGGGTTCAAGGTGTGTCTGCTGTGTTGGGCTGAGGCTGAGACGGGAGAAGGCGCTGTTACTAGAGGGATGTAGGTTTTTCTGGCCTGCCATGGGGTAACCATAAGCAGAACTACCGTCTGTTCCTAGACCTCTGTCAGTAGTTGTGTCTGAGGCAGACTGAACAGGCTCTTGAGCCCCAGGAGGACTTTTGGGTTCTGGACTTTTTACTACCGTCAAAGGTGAGCCAGTCTGAGTTTCCTGGTTACGGTACTGGTTTCCAGGCCAGGACCCAGAGTAGCACAACTCTTTATCTTGACTGGCTTGGAGAGCCCAGGCATCTATTATCTCCTTCCTTAGAGGAGCCCTCTTGTAGTTCCTCATTGAGAAACTGCTGCTGGTGTGAAAGTGAGAGTAGTGGGGTGTTATGGGCATTTCATTCACTGACTTGCTCCGCACATTGGGGCTCTCTTTGAGTCCTACAGCGAATATGTCTTTGTTGCTGACAGTCAGGCTTGGTATTGTCTCATTATTGTTCTGGTCTGCTGGTAAGTCTTTGCTAATGTTAGTCGGTGTGTGAACAGGGACAGACACAAGGCAGAAGATGGTCTCACTTACTCTTCTCTTTGTGTTCTCTGGCCGTGTATCTGGGACAATTTTTTTTACTTGGGTGATGGTTTCTGCAAAGACCTTATCTGAGCTGGACCCCTGTCGAGAAGAACTTCTTGATAATGGGGCCTGGAAGGCTGAAGAGGGAGATGGAGGAGGACGTGGGTTTTTGGGGTATCTGTTGTTGCAGTTTTGGTCCGTTGCTGGGAAGTTATCAACCGCCTCTTTGTGCAAATCACTGTGCCACCTGTTATTGTCATTGTCCCTAGAAGACGTTGGGTTGGCATCATCGGCCAGTTTGGCTGAGATGAAAGGCCCCAATGGCGGGGGCAAAAAGGCACTGTCGCTGGATGCAGGCTCCGACACGGTGACGCTGGGAAGCTCGTTGCGGATGTGCCGGATCTTGTCAGCGTCCGTCAGGGAGTTGCCACCCAGGGCTGAGGAAATATGGCGGATGCGGGGGTCATCAAAGGGGATGTATTGAATCGCTCCACCAGGCCGCTGTTGGGTCATATACATGGGGTAAAGCTGCTTCTGGCTAGACATTATCCTTTCTCTCTGGTGATCAGGCCAGGAACCAGCTGGATGTCTGAACCAGTGAGAACCATCTGGAGCCACTTGTATCTGCTGGTACACATCCCCTCTGTACCTAAAAGCAAAAAGAGCACAGTTTTTTTGTTAACAATAAGTGTTTTTGCCGAACATAACATCTATTTGAAAAGAACTACACAAATCTGGCTTAGGACTTACATATAGGAAAGTAGGGCTGAACGATTAATACACATTTAATGAAAACTGAAAAATGGCACAATATGATAAAGAAATGTCAAAGAATCGCATAAAACTGACTTTGTTTTATATAGCTCCTCACAAAAAATGACACAATGCTCATATAAATATTATTATCTTAGAACAATCAACCACGCTGATGATGTAAGTGATCCTTTTGAAAACCCTTTTAAATATCAGTAAAGTACGTTTTCTAAATGTTTCAACCCCATTGTGTAGGCTTTGTCACATTTTTTAAATATAGTACCATGTTATATTCATAGGCTAGGTGAGATGTCGCATACAGGATTAAGGAATGTACATAGAAAGGGAAAAAAAAGACTTACCTGTAGTCAACAGCAATTTCACCATATCCCCGACACGCCCCTGCCATCAAAGGAGCTCTTCTGTACGATGGGGGAGCGATGTATCCCGGAGGTTCAGAGTCCTGTCCATAAAAGTCCAGTTGAGGGTCATCTATCCTTTGTATTGGAAGTGGCGTTCTGTCCCTGGCATGGGAAATCACTGAGTCTCTCCCAGACAACATCTCACAGCTTCCCCTGATCTGCTGGTGCATCTCATAAGAGGGAGGTCTGGGGGGTCTCGTGAAGCGGGGCTTTGGTGTCATTGAGAGTTGGTTTGCGCTAGCCGGCCTGCCATTCTCCGGCCAGCGGGGTGCTCTATAAAAGTCATGTTGTGATACCGGGTGGCCATTGACCCGTCTGTACAGTTCCAGACTGGACGGGTCTATGTCCACGAATTGCAGGCTCTCAGGCTGCAGCATCCTAGGCAGGGACTGGGATTTGGCTTTGGTCCTTGGATGGACTACCATACCCTCTGGTGTCCTGGCATGGAGTCGCTGCTGCTCATGTGCCCAACGCTCACCCTCACTCTGGGACAGCTGGCGACTAAAGCTCACGGCTGGACGCCACTCATCTGTCCCCAGGCTCTGACACTTCCTCTCATTCGCCATCCTCCACTGATGGAGAGCAGCTTCCCTCTCTCTAGAGCGGGACTGAGCCTGGACCTGGGCGTGAGCCTGCACCTGAGCCTGGGCCTGGGCCGCCCAGCGCTGCCTCTCCTGAGCTGCTCTCTGACGCTCCTCTGCAGAAAACTCTTGGCCTCTTGCTTGCTGAGACCCCTCCGGCCTGCTGCAACCCCCCTGGCCCCCTCCATGGGGGTCTGCATAGTCCAGTAGCACAGTGAAGTCCTGGCCTCTCCTCCTCCAGTAGGACACATCCTTGGACTGCGCCTGAGGACCTCTGGTGCCATCACAGAACCTGTAGGGAAACACAAACACAAAAGGTGTCATTATGTTTCAAACAAAGTGCTTGTTAAATGGTTAAATACAGTCTAAAATAGCCTTTCCTCAGAACATCAGAATTGAGTTCTTGTAACAATCTGACAATTAGCTCACTTTCCACAGCAATTGGCTGTTGACTGTGAAGAGTGATGAATACCTTTAACTTCTTGCAGACAGATGTTCACAAAGGAGAAAGTGAGTATTCCCACACACGTTTACTTGCAATGAAATGTATTGATTATACAAAATTGTGTTCCCTAGATCTTCATCCCCTTCAGCCCTATGAAAACATTGAATACAAATAATAACAACAATTACATACAGGGTAACAAAGTGCTAAAAAAATTGTCTAAATGAAAAGAGGCAAATAACTAATAACAGTCTACAATGTGGACAAATAAAAAATAAAATCATTTCCCACTAGATGGAGACATATGACCATGAGTTACCATGCCGTGTCTGGTAATTGTGATTGTCTATGGGGCATAATGAACACATTACACAATGATACACAGTGGCTGTTAGTCCCGGATTTCCTCCAAGACAAATCAACAATTTAGATGACGTTTCATTGAGAGGCTTTCTATTGCACTGTTCTGTAGCTCCTTATCTGAGAAAACGAGCAGCATTTCTCTAAACCAGTGCAAGTATATCTCTCAATTTATCTCTGAAAATATGTTTAATGACAGATCTGATGGGCTTCACCGGGATGCAAGGGGTCCCTGCATGCAGTCTGATCATTTCAGGCTATTTGTGGAGTGACTGACTGACAACGCAAACAAGACGCCAGCACATGTGTACACCGCCTTGAGGCCGAGGCCACTGAGCGTCCTTGACATTTCCATCCATGACCATCACTGGGCAGAGATGTTTGTTGGGGGAAGGGGGGCTAGCCATGCCAATCCGCTGAATTTGAGGGCATCTTACGTAAGATGAGTTACCATCATTAGCCTAATTGGCTCTAAGTAGCACTGTCTAATGGGAGTGCCAAGATAGGCCTGTTCCTTATCTAAACGTAAGCTTCTAGGCAAAATGGATTTGGATGAGAGGGAATAAAGAAGGATGAACAAATAACAGACTGGAATCGTAGAACATATGTCTTAGCAAGTCCCACATTCCCAATAGAAATCTCTGATAACACTGGCAGGGCCGCAACATGAAAATGCGGATTACTCGTCTCAGAGAATATAACCATGAGTGTGAAAAATGAAAAAAACATTATCACAACCAGTGACATTATTCAAGGTCATTTGACTATTTTCAGATGCTTTGTCACTGGCTTGTGGCAAAAAGAGGATTAGGGAGAAAATAGTCAGCCCAAACTAAATGTAAAGAAAGGGAAAAATCTGACAAGCCTGCCTAATAGTGTAGACATTGGAACAGCTGTATTGACTTTGTCTCAGTTACAGCACACTAACCCCCAGAACTGGTGCAAATAGGCAAATTAAACAATGCTGCTTTCAGGAGAAAACAGATTGGCTGCAGCTAGGCGATATCTCTGGAAATATCATACGTTCTAACTGCCCCTACCCAAGAGGGTTTCAATTGCATAACTCCAGACTAAGCTAAATATAGCCTATCCTCCATATGCATATTTAAATACGGCCTATATGAATCCTGTATTATTGATGGGGTCTGCCTTATATAAGTAAGTATAATGCTTATGAAACAGTAGAAGCCGGTCGGCATATTGGTTATGCTTGGGGAGAGAATCAGGCAGAATACACCATCCTGAAAAAACAGTAAATCTATGTGAGTTAGATCAGGCTTGCTGAAATGGGGCACATGTATAGGTTTGCCCGAAAGCTGTTTTGATTAAAACTCCAAGGTCCCATGTGGCAGATTAAGACTCCAACACACACTATCTCCCTTCCCAACGCACAAGACTTGTGGAAGACGAAGAGAGAAGGGAATAGAGATGAACAGAGAGGAAGTTAACACAAGAGATAAGACAGAACCAAGAAAAAAGGTGCCAGGAGGGGCATTTAAGTAGAAGTATTCAATTTGATTAATATGCTCCATCAAAGCACCATAACAATGAATAATTGAGTAATTCATCAATAAGGATTGAGGACAACCATAATCAGGATAGGGCATGCAAAAGGGTCGATCAGACAGGGAATCATGACTGTTCTTACAGTACGGCGCACACTATCTCTTACCCGCTGTCTGAGGTCAGCGACTCCCCCAAGGAGTGGGTGTCCATTTGGCTCCGGCCCTCGCCCTCCCGCCTCGACAGGCCTCTGTCCCTAGGTTCATTGTTGTTGTTGGGACAGCCGCTGGCGTACGCTTGGGGCGGCCTGGTTCCGCCTCCGTTTCCAAAGGGCATCCCAGGCCCTCTTTCATAGCCATTTACTGCCCTGGGGCCGGGCCTGTTCTCTAGGATTTCATGGTGTTTGCTGTAGGACGGAGGTGAGGACGAGGGAGCCTGGTGGGACGTTGATGCGGGGGCTGGGATAGGGGTGGAGGAAGGGGTGCTATGCTTGGGCAGCTTGTATCCATGAGAGATGAGGAGGTCCTCCACGCTGTACATGGTCGCATTTGTTTATGCTGGTGTGTTTTCTTTTTCCCCTCTCCCAGCCTTTTCTTTTTTTGAGAGAGAGAGAAAGGTAGGTCGGTTGTCAAGGCGTCTCTGCTTCTTCCCTACATGCAGCAGCAGGATCACCGGCACAGCTGCGCAGCTGAGGCCATCACTGGGAAAGAAAGAGAGAGGGGGACGACATCAGGAGACAAGAAGACAGACAGAGAAAAGAAGGTGACGCTAAAACCATTACGCTCGCTACCCGTGTCCCATTTTTGTCAAGGTTCCCAACCCATATGGACAGTTGAAACAAAAAAAGACCCCAAAACTCGAATTCTGAGCCGCCACGACAAAAACGATATCACCCGCCTTCCCAGCAGCCCGTCCCTCCCTCCTCTCTTCTGAGCTGCTCGTAGCAACAAACCCCTTTCCATCTCATTCGGAAATCACTGGCACCAAAACCCATCCATGTCCAGAACTAAGTAGTAGGGGAAGGTAAACAAACACCCTCAAAGACAACCCTAAATAGCATGATGATCAGAGGCAACTAGAGTTTCAGAAGGCTGCCGTGCTCCAGTGAAATGTCACTGTTTACAGTGGTCTCCCTGCAGACTTCCATAGTCGCTGTAAGCAGCCAACCACTGCTAACGTTTCGCATCAATGGGGCAACTGGATGATTGTATTTACCTCTCTGCTCATTTTAGCATGCTCACTCTCAAAAATGTATTTTATCTCAAAGGTGGGCTTTCAGCTATATGCAGTCTTGGATAAGGGTTAGAATGTTAAAAAACTATAATCTGAATCAAATAAAAAAATCAATAAACAAATGATACAAAAGCAAACAGGATGTGAACAAATGATTCAACATGCCCCATGCCCTCTCTTATGGTGTGTGTGCGTGTGTGTAGAGTAATGTAATGTCATGTAATGCAATGTAATGCAATATAGAGCTTAAATGATTAGCCGTACAGAAAATGTAACTGGTATGTAATTTACTTGCACAAATGTCAAAATGTCAATGGTCCCAGCTCCTTGAATGAGAATTTCTTCTATAACATGCAATTGCATATATTCAGTTTTTCTTGAACCGGTTGGGCTAAAGATGCCCTGTAATGATGTATTAGCATACATTTAGAGAAAATAATATCTCACTTAATCAAGGAAATCATTGACATTACTCAATAATGAAAATAATACATCGATGCAACCCCTCGCTTTGTGTTTTTTTTACAAGCACCCATGCTGTGAGTGTTTTAATTGGTCTTGAAAGTGGTTAAGTTGTTGAGGGACACAATATAAACAGATAAGCAAGGGATATTGCAATAACATTGCAAATAACATACATTTTATAGGTGGAATAGCATTATGACCTTTGCTTTCGGCCCAAAAAATGACATTAATAATAATGACTGATGAAGAATTGAATTGATGAGGGTGCATTTGCCTATGATGTAACGGCCTTGATGAAGTCATGCTTGCTGCCTTGTCAACAGGACAGATGCTGCTGCAGCCCACTCATTCAATACTCTTCACTGGAACACACTGCCAACAACCTGGCTGTCCTTAATAAGAAATGGCATTCAGGAACAGCAGTGTGAGACTCGTTGCCAGAATGAAAATGCTGTTCAGACAGTTTAAAAGCCAATTACACTATGATTGCTTAATGGCACCTCTAAAATTGCTTGTTTTTGCTTCTGAAAAACAGACGGCCGACACAGCCTCACTGACATGTATTCAGCTGCAAGCAGATTAGCATTTGTTTTGCTTCGTTCTTAGCATTTGTTTAGGCTTGATCGTCCCACAGAGATGACAAAATCCATCTATGAAAGGAGTCCTGACTCAGAGGGCAGCATCTCTTCTGTTCTCCTTTTTTCCGCCAGCGTCATCCCTCATCCCTACCCCCACCATGTACCTGAACCCTAGGATAGACTACTTGGTGATTAACAGGATCCAAGACCGTGAAATGCCGCTCTCTTTGTATGTCTGGCTCTCTAATACGATTATCTTTTTCATTTAAAACCTTAAACCTGTTAGCTTTGGAGGATTGACTCTTGGCGCTTACCCAGTTAATACTTTTGTTGAGTTTAACTCTACCCATTGACGTTTTGAGTAATCTCCTCAAGGAGAGGGAAGTTGTGAGTTTGGCAGGGAGGTTCTTGAGAACACAGTAACAAAATGGGTTTTCTTTATTCGCGTCCAGATTAGCATGCAGACCTCGGATAATATATATATTTTCATTGACTGTTATTTCATGAACTGCAGTTGAACTTGCTGGGCAACAGGCCAGTGAACATGTTAAAAAAGGCACAGTGTCTGTGAAATACTGACAATGCAGACAAAATGGAGCCAAAATGTTAATATCGGTGGTCATTTGTCACTACAGATTATTCAAAGTAACAAGAATATTTCTCTAAAATGTCAACTCTGTCCCTCTATGCTTTACATTAACAACCAAAGCCAGGTCTCCCTACAGCTTTAGAGAAGCCCATATCAGACTCAACGATCAGTGGCAGATTGGTATCACCACCCTTTTCTATCTGTAGATGAAGCCAAACCCTCCAACCAGGCAAAGGTTTTAATTAATTGAGCTTAAGGTTAGTGGCTATGTTCATTTATATGATAATTCATTTTTGTTATGATCGTTGCACATGAACCTGTTTTGACTGCAAATCCATATGCTCTCTAATCTAGCTAAACCCTTAATCTAAGGCAATTGCTTTTGGTGTCATCACTACAGTAAATGAGGATTATCTTTATCATCAGTAAAAGTGAGGATTTCCTCCTGTAAAGTGACCTGCTCTCATTCATTCCTCCACCACTACCCCACCCCTACTCCTTCCTTCCCATGACAAGCCCCGTTTAAATACTGCTAATACTGTTACGCAATGGAATTACCCATTTTATATCAAATAAAACCTCGGATTCCAGCAACGGTATGCAACAATGGTCGGCTTTCATTCCTCTAAACACAACAACATTGTGTTTCGCTACAATGCCTTCTTGTATGAAAAAGACTGGCATTACAGGCTCTTGAATTCGGCAACTGGAAGAAAAAAAAGTGGCAGATCTTCTGTATTTTAATGACACGGCTCGCTCAAAGGGAGAAATTAATGATACAGTTTATGGATGTGCTGAAAAGTAAGCTGAAAATAAAAAGAAACCACATGAGGGCCAGCGTTTCCCTACAGACGACCCTCACAACAGCCTCCGCATTTTCTCTAATCAGCCACTGTACACTAGTACTGTAATTTACATTTTTCTACACAGTGAAAGATGTAAGACCTCTGCTTTTGACATCAAGTGAACTTTTGTCAAGGCCACGACTTGTTTAATAAAAACAGAAACAAGCATTTTTAAGCTGTTTTAGGGGGCCTGTGCCCTTACTGGTGGCTAAACGAACGGAAAGCTGCAGGGGCATGATGGCTTGCAGGTTGACAGTTTGGTGTCAGCTCCTTATTCATGGCCCAATTGAGATGAGGGCATAGTGGGGAGGTGTGGAGGAAGGGAAGCAGAGGGACAGCATGGGTGGCAGACAATGCAGGACAGAGACCTAGATCAGGCCTTTGGGAGAGACAGTAGTGCAGAGCTAGAGGGTGTTAGGTAATAGACCAGATTTCAGGCTGGGTTACATACTTTGAAAATAAACTGTATAAGAGGCTTAAAATAGGAAAACAGAAGATGTTCGGTGAAAAACATATTGAGAAACAGTGATACATGTTGTCCTGAGTAGACACTGAGATGTGTTAAAATAGCATGTGCCTCCTTAAAGTGATGAAATACAGACAATAACAAATCTGGATTTTACAGGCTCCAGCCTAAAATCACCACAACAAAAGACATCTTATACGCCAGAGCATGGAACCAAAAAGACGATTAGCCTGCTTCCCAAAATATTCCACAAGAGCCGCACCTCTCCACCACATTGTTCCCAGTCTCCTTGGATCTATAACAACTGACCCGAGTGGGTGTGTACTTGGCTAGTCCCCAGTCTGCATCTGTTAGGACTGTGCACGCACAGGGATTTCTCAGGGATGACAGCCCATCACATTCAGCAAACAGCAATGGTACGCAGATTGTTTATCTATGTGACATCACTGTGTCCAGCAAAGGGGACGTATCTCTTCCTGAGGAAGTGCGTCGCTGTGAGGGCGGAGGAGAGCCGACGGTGTCGCAAATGTTTCCAATCAGGCTCTCTGCAGGCTCTCGTTTGTCCTGGGGAAAGAAGTTGGAGGCCTGTTTTTGGCCAGGGCCGGAGAAATAAACAGCCAAACAACCTCGGCCATATTTTTCCCTCACTGACCTCGGGAAAGCACAATGTCCTGCACTTCAGGTGGACTGTAACTCAGCAACATAAAGTGTGGGCATATTATCTGGGGAGCTATCTGCCCTTTGGACACTGGCAATCTATCAGAAAAATCTCACTGGGCTTGGGATCCATTCAACTGTAGTTTAGGGCAATTATGACCTTTTGCAATGGTGAGAAATTGAAGTAGAAGACCTCTAAAACAGGTTTGTAAACTAAAAAGGGGAAATCTGTTTACAAATGATGGGTAACAAGAAAAATATTTTACTATCCATTCCAAAATCACCACGTTGCAACCCATGTGCTTTCACTATCATCCACACCCTTGTAGTAGAGAGTAAAAACAGGCAGGGCCCGTGCATTGTGAGTCAATTAGCTCATGTGGAAAGGTTTAGCCAAAAAACACCCACTTACAATATTTGGTTGAGCATATCCCATGGCAACAGTTGTTTTGCTTTTGTGAATGGCAGCTCCAAGACAATAGCATGCGGGCTGTTAAAATATTCCTGCTGCATTGCTTCAGTCCAAAACTTATTACAGTCAGACTCTACTGGCAGTGAAATCAAAGGCAGGATGGGATGGGGAGTGGGGGGATGTTTTTATTCCAGCATACTCCAACACATCACAGTCTGAAACAGTACGGTCTGGTTCTGATTCATTTCAGGCTGTCAAAAAGTACTCTAGCTAAACATTTGTCTAGTGCAGTATCAGTGTTTGAATCCAAAGCAAATTGTTAATAAAAACTGGCTCACGCACAAGAGCAGTATAGCTAATAGCTCATTAATGCACAAGGCTAAGCTGTGTGGCAACCAGTAAGACAGTGACGATGTAGGGTAATTATATCAATGGACTCATTTTCCATTGTAATGCAGGCTTAGCTCAGTTCAGCTGAAATGCAGCGATTTGACGTCATGAGATTTCCTTCAACTGAATCCAACACTCCTAATATACAGAGGGAGATTCAGGGCAACACATTGGCTCCAAAACACAACAGCTTATTTTAATTTCATATATTTAACCTTGATTTAACCAGTCATTAAGAGCAAATTGTTATTTCAAATCTAAACATTTTAAAATCATTACATAAGAGGAACAAAAACAAAACATTAAAGAGGGTTAGTAGGCACGCTAATCCAACGAGGCACTGTTCTGCAACACAGTAGGCTTCACCTGCACTGAACTACTCCCAACCCATGCTGTTTCTGAGCATGCCAAACTGGCTTCATGGTAATTAGTGTCTGTCAAGGTCCAAAGCTTGCTAGAAATGACAGTGGCATGGTTTATCAGCCAGAAACACAGTGATCAAAGGGCTAGCACGCTTTGGCTTCCTGCTAATCAGATGGACTCAGCATGCCTGTTGCACAGTATTATGTAGGAAAGGTAATAAACAACCCAACGTGAATATATTTTAACAATCAAAGAGACCACGCTTCATTAAATAAGCCTAAGCACATCAAAAGTATGATGTTTAAAGACAGCTGATAGGACGTGGCAACGACAGAGACGTGTTGACGGATGACTGTGACGCAGATCACAGGTGGGATGAAAGGGCTCTCCCACGCAATGTAAGGAAAGTGTTGGAAAAGTGCTATGTAAACACATGGAAATGAATGGTCAGGGTTATCTCAAGGGCTCAATCACCACACTGGCATAAAACTGACACGCAGAAATCACAAAGCAGGCAGCTGAACCATCTGCCAAACATGTGAACATCAACCTGCTAGTATATAGGACATGACAGTATATACACTCAATGTGCATGCACGCCTTTTCATTCTTCACATTCTCCGCCCTGCATTCGCACTGTGAGAGGCACACTGGCAGATGTCAGTTGCTTTCACACGTTTCTGGCTGGCTTCATCCACCAGCCTCTTTTCCTCCTGCCTGCGTCACCTCTGCTCTGACATCACATGTGACATCAGGCAGGACCTCCGAGGGGATCCCTGTAACCGGGCAAACATCGGGTGACTTTCAAAGGCTTTTTGCTATCCAATGGCGGAAAAACTCATTTTCTTGATGCACTTGGCCTAGAAATTAAACTGAACACAGAGAGCTTAAACAGCTACTGCACACACACAAGATTACTGGAAATGGAAAGTCTAGCCTTGGGATAACCAGACTGCCTGCAACACCAGGAAGTTATCCAAGCCCACACTTATCGCAGGCACTTTGGACCACTCCTGAAAGTTGAACTGGTATGACTCATTTCATAGCCGTGGAGGGCCCCTCCAGTTTCGCTGACCAACCCTTTCCTCCGCTGCTGGAAGGAATTAATGAGCTGCTTCCCTTCTTAATATGCTCCCCTTCTCACCATACCTCACCCCCCTCAGGGCATCTAGCAGGGCCTTGTGTTCACACACCATCCCGGTCTCAAGGATGTGTGAAAGACCAACCACAGAACACACATGGGCCTACGTACACACACACCTACGATTTTTGTGTGAAAATGCACACTAGCTGATCTGTGCTCTGTCTTGCAGTATTTTTGTCTTCATAATTAATCATCTGCTGTTATCCACAACTCCTGCAAACTGTCAGGAAAATGCTTTTTTACTGACATTGACTAACAGCTTTTGATGTAAGCTCACTGAGCTATGAAAAGGTTTTGGCAGGAAGGAACAGAGCACTCCGGGGCAATGTTAATAGAACTTCCTTAAATACTATAAGTAACACAACCTAAAATAATCAGACCTGAGGCCATGACACATCAGCCCAAATAAGACATGGGGATAAATTAAGAAAACTAAACAAACACCTACTTAAGATGATGGTACTCCATGTGTTCACTGCAGAAACTTTGTAATAACTGAGTGATCATTTTGAACAGGCCAGGTGAAATATTAGCTTTGACAATGTGGCCTCTAGAGGTCCCTAGGTGACAATAACAATTTATGTGCAAGACCTTCTCAAATTAAAGCAATTAAGCAATTGCAAACACTGTGGCATAATTTGAGGTGTGAGTTAACAATAGCCTAAGTGTTTTATCCATCCAGTCTTGTAGGCTATTCATTATTAATAAAGGCTATGCTGTTAGACATGTTCAGTCAGCTATAAATATTAAATGCAATGCACATCTTAAATATAGCATATTATTAACCAATTAGAGTAAACTGGCTGTCGGATGGCTGTTTTGACGGTATATTCATGCAAGGTTGTGAGCAGTGCATGCAGGAGGCTGCATGGGGGAAGGAGAAGAGAGGTCAAGCAGCAGCCATCATCATGCAAACAGCAGGTGTGACAAAGTGACAGCATGCAAACATCAAAGCAACCTTAACTTGGCATACCATTTGCCAAGTGCCGTTTGCAGCTCATTTCCATCGCCATATGGTGTTCTCAAGCACCCACGCAGAACCGAGAGCTACACGTTACTGGACCCGAGTGTTGTCATCATGTCGTTACGAAATGATTGACAGGCTTGGCATGATGCTAGCCCCGCTGGTTCCGTTTGCTGCCGTAGCATACTAGCCTAGCCCAGATGCGCGCAGATCACAGATGCAGGGAGAATCCACGCCAAATTCCGTTAAAACATCTGCCCGTTCAGGGGTCCGTTACAGTAAGGAAAGGATGCGTACCTAATTACCCACACTTAAGACCTTCTATGGATCAATATAGGTCAATTTTTTTATTCGGCGGATGGATGACCCACTATTCAGACTGTGTTTCAATGTCTGTTTTATAACTCCAACTGCTTACTGTCGCCCACCACAGCACATTAAGGATGGAGTCCCACTGAGAAAATGTAAGGCAAAGCAAGTCTACAAGTTAAAAATGTAATACAACAAGTAATTGTGGAGTATCACAAAATGCCAACCGAATACAAGCCATGGTCTGGAGGTTTCACTGCACTCCTAAATTAGTGTTTCTTTCGATATAAATTACTGCTCGAAAGCTAAAACGGCGTAATTTGAACGGAGTTTGGCCTCTCTTCCAGAGCAATATAACGGCTCATAAGGGGGCTAACGCTAGCCAGGCTAGCTCCATCAGCAATCTTTAACCTTCAGCTGATAGAAGCGCGTCCGCAAATAGTGGCAGTCGCCCCCGCAGACGCTTCAAGTTAAGGCACAAACACCGCCATCCTCTCACTCCTTCACCTTCTAATGTCGCGTGGTGAAAGTGCCACAGTGCGGTCCTAAACCCTCTTATCCCGGCGGAGGAGGCAGGGACAGCCGGACAGGAGAGCACCGAGGAGACGGCAAGTTGAGGGACCGCTGGAAATGTTGAATGAAGAGCAGATGCGACTCTCAACCTCTGTGTAGCCTTTTTCTCAAAACAGCTCCTCAGCCAAACGAATGGGACGTGGAAATAAAATAAAAACAGAACCCCAACGAAAGCCTGAATTAAACACGGTGTGTCGTTGGACCTGGCGACACTCTTACCTGTGAAATGCGTTGTTGCTTTGGCACCTAGTCCCCAGCGCTCATCCCCGCCGCTGCTCTGGACGGACTGAGCTGGGATCTGCTGAGGGAACAGCCCCTACACCACCGCACAGACTGAGGAAACATCCCTCCTCTCCAGCGGGGAGGCAGCTGGATGCTGCTCAGCGATAAGGCTGATGTTGAAGGCTATTATTCTCCACCCCCGGACTTGCGTTGTTTCTGTAAACACAGGCAGAGTTTCAATAATGAGTCGATTAATCAATAAGCAGAAAGTTAATCCGCAACATTTCCATAATCAAAATGAATTTAAGTCAGTTTTCAGGCAAAAAGTGTTATGATTCAAGGTTGTGGGAAATTAGTCTATACATGGGCTTTTATAATTAAATGACCTTTACTCTCTATAAGTCTAGGCCTATTCATTAGAAAAAGCCTTAGGCTATTAGCCTGTAACATTTATTTACAGCACTTAATGAAGCTTGGGTCCTCTTGTTTTGATTATTTACGTAATAATGTGTTTTTGATAACAACCAATAAAACCCACACATTTCAATGACTTAAACACACACACACACACACACACACACACACACACACACACACACACACACACACACACACACACACACACACACACACACACACACACACACACACACACACACACACACACACACACACACACACACACACACACACACACACACACACACACACACACACACACACACACACCCTAGGGAAACAAGTCAGAAGTTCTGACTTATTTGTTCATGGCTCGACAATGTCTACAAATCTGCCTTTTAGAGTTATTTGTATAGAATCATTCATATTCATGTGTTTGTTAATAAAACCCAACAAATGAGTAGTCATACTTTTTAAAAAAAAAATAGAATGAATAACACAAATCAATATGAAAGTTGAGTCGTGATATTGCAAAAAAGCGGCAAACTTTGGTCCACTTTTTTGTTTTGGTTCTCCTGTAAGGTTTGCCAAAACCTGCTTTACACCCCTCTGGCTCCAGGCTGTAGAGCTGAAATCTCTACTCCCTTTTCACCTCTTAAAAGAACAGAGGACCCTAAAACCTCCATAATATTGACACAGATGTTCCATACAACTGAACTCCCCTGAAACGTAGGGAGGCTGGTAGGCTTCTGTTGGCCGTGGCTTGTGTATTCCCTCAGTGGGAATCATTTTAGTTGACTGCCTTTCTGGCCATAGACATACTGTACATCTTTTCCTGTCCACTTTGCCTGATCACAGCTGTTAATGTGTCCCCTCTGCAATAATGATCATGTTTATATAGAGTCATCTTAACTTTGAATGACCTACTTGATGATAATCTCATTTCCTGTAAAGCTAGCAATTGTTCCAGTTGTTGACTTTGCATATCCTGTGGCCACTAGTGATGGGAAAAAAAAGATCTATAATGACTTAATATTGTCAAAGACAGTCATGTTTGAGTTCCCTGTAACTCTTGTACACCATTTGTCCGATAGAATGAAGAACGGAATGCAGAAGTTATGACTTTGGACAACATGACATGTTAAAGCAAAGATAAAGTGAGAAAACTGAGAGGAACACGACAAGAACAATGGAAGTGATATGAGTATCTGCTCTGACACAGTAGTTTGGGAAAGCCATATCATTTTATTTGGCCTGTGACTTACTGGCATCTGGTCAGTATCACTGAAGGTCAACACTTCTGCTGCTCCCTGTGTTCACAGAGTGCACACTGCCTTCACTACCCTGCACCCAACCGTCTGGATGTGTCTGTTTTCAATTGTGCCGTACATATGCAGCTCAGATGCAATTCACTGAAATGTGGTGCAGAGACGCTGATGTCACTGCTCCGTTTGCCAATTGTGGTTTTGAGTCTGAACGTTTCTGAGCTTGGTGAGCAGCGCTGCCCGCTTTGGGCTTCTGCAGTTGCCGCTCCCCAATTCCCCAGAACTCTGGTCTAACATCTTGACTCTGTAGCTGTGGTGGTGGTGGGGGGGGGGGGGTTAGGCTGATATCTCTCTGCTCTGGAACCTGGGAAAACTCCTACATAAATTCATGAATTCTAAGAGTGGCATTATATACAGGGCGGTAGCAGGATTTCTGACGGAGCAGGAAATTAGAAAAGCTGAGTCTGGGCAAATTAAATTAAAACGACTGAAACTGACTGAAAGGACATCTTGATAGAGTTGCAGTCTATATTTAGCAAAAACAACAAATTAATTGTCCTGAAATACTTACACATATAGAATACACGTCTTTATTCTTAGCTAAGATAACTAACCCTTTTTTAACACATAAGGGTAGCATCAATTTTCTAATTCTGTCAAAATAAGCGGATATTCATATTTCCAAAAACTACTCTTTTCACTGTTTATAGTAAATACATTTAACCAGATTTAAATAAGGAGTTTATTTGAATGGACAAATTCTTTATGTCTATTATTATCAGACCCATTTAAAGATATTGAGTCTAAAATACTGTAGAAAAATACTAACCCTATGTAATTCCCAAATTACAGAAAAAAATTAGATATTCCTGCCTGAAAATATCTATCATTACATCCAATCAGTGCACATGGTGTATTGTGTAAGCTACCTCTATTTAGGTGAGTCTCAAATCAAAGGTGGATGTCGAGACAGGCTTGCTACAGTAGCTTTAAATAGAGATCAGCAGGTAATGGGCTTTGGAAAGCTGTAATTGTAGCAATCGTAATGTAGCGAGTGTGGCCACCTTTAAAAGCTTGGCATGGGCCAGACGGGATTACCATCAGTGGGCTACGGTGCTACCTGGCAAACACCACCCTTTCTGTGATTGGTCTAATTTATGTCCAGCGGTCATGCAGGAGCTGGCTCGCAGGCTCTTGTCTCAGCATTTGTTTTTATTTCTCTTCTGACAAATAACCGATGATGATTTAACCTTTCTTCTTGGCAACAAAATAGAAAACTGGCCAGGCCATCTTAAAAGATGCAGGGATTGTGAAACCATTTCCAGACGGATTTTTATTTAACTTCACCTTGATGGCTCGCTCTTTAAAGAGAATGCCAAAGAATCATTTCATGCTTCAAGTCTATCAAGCTGATTTCAAAAGTTGGATGCTTTTTCATACAGAAAGAATGTGCTAAACTTGGCTCGGCTATAATAACTGCACATTTGTGGGCCTTGTGGACCAAAATTGTCCATTTCCCATCAGAATCCATCTGCAGACCTATAATTAGGATTATTTTAAGAACGCCAGAGTATCCAGTGGTCACTGCATCCTCTGAATCTATCTCACAGAGCCACAGGAGCTTCCCTGAACCCAAACAATCGCACCACACGGTCACATAAACATAAAATTGATTCTGTGTTAAATTCCTAAATCCATCACCCCCGCCAATGATGAAATTGTGAACCAACAGCAGGAAACCATTGTCAACATTTGGGGTATTGTTGTGCAGTGAGTATGAACATGTGCTCATTGTTTACAACTCGGTAACACTGCTGTCTGTCTATAACAAAATGTCTGGATAACAAAGTCATTTGAAAACAAAATGTGTTATTCAGACATCACATGGGGATGATTCATTTCAAATACTCTGAGAAGGAGTGAGCTCACTTCATCACATCCTTACACTGGTTATCTAATCTACTCAGTTTCTTCCTCCGGACAGCTTTTTATTTTCCTAGGCTGGGATCCCATTGCAACTGGTCAGCAACAAGCAGGGAGACATTTAGGAGAAAAGCGATGATATTCAAGGCAATCACATACAGTCCCATGCTGACACCCACAGAAGTGCTGCATTTTCTCAAAAGTAAAGGCCTCTTCCCACATAACACAGCCGTGATAAAAACCTGCTCTGCACAACTGAGCAAATCCCTAAACAGCTGGGTTTTGACGGAGTAAAGTGCCTACCGTAACTCAGCCCAGATGTGGAGAGGGCCGGACTGTATGAGGTCTGAGCCTCCCTAGTGATATCACACCACCCACAGGCATCTGCTCAGGAGATCTGAAGGGCCGACCGGAGATTTCTTTGTGTTTTGGTCCAGCCGTGCATCGAGGTTATTGTTGTAAGGTAAAAGATCTGTGGGGAAGAGGGCATGCGGGCCACTCTCAACACATGAGGATCATGTAAAGCCCCCTCACCTCTGAACCCGTGGTGTGAACAGCTGCCTCGTGTTGATACAGAGATTCACTTTGATCCACCTTGATCCGGATTCATGCACACAACTGTTTTCATATTAGAGGAGTCATTTTTCCATCTACCTGGTTTTACGATCTACCTGTTTAAATGAAATATTCTCCGACCAGGGCAGGATTAACCCGCTGCCAGATAAAGGGGTAAAACGTGAGTTACATCCTGTAAGCCTATACTAAAAAATGCATATACGTATTAAAGGTTTCAAAATAGTTTTATGTTGACCGACAAAACAGGAGGGTCCAAATGCAAAGGTTTCCTTAAAGCCCTTACTGTTTCAGTTTATATTACATCAGTACATGAAAATGGACCTGGGGAAGTTGCCAGATTTTTCAAGTGTGTTTTAAAGCATGTCACCAAAAGATACTCTTACAATTACATCACCAATTTGTGATGATCCATGCATTCCAGCAGTTATTTGGGGATTTAAAGTTGTATTTTACTCTTGTCATTCTCAATTTCCCTAAAACTGGCTAATACTACTTACTAAATGAGTTCCTGCATTTCCCAGAGAGCCTTGCAACAATTCCCTTAAGCAGTGTACCTGGCAGGTAGATCTTTAGAATACATGACAGTGTAAGCTTTCAGTATGAAAAACAAAGTTAATCCAGACTCCATTGACGAAAACAGAAATGTTAACTTAGTTTACAGAAAGTCCAAGGAGTCTACCTGTGTTATTGTGTAACTTTGGTGAGTCTGAAACTAGGCTCTTAAAAAAACAAAGTCACACAAAAAGACAAACAAACTAACCATTCGAGGCTGCAGCAACTTAAAATAACATTTCTTTAAAATGGGAGTCTGGTGGCTTTTGAAAGGAGAATGGATATCAACCACATTTCTAAAATGGAAAGGCCTGTCTGACCAAAGGTAGCGCGATGAAATATTCTTAATATAGCATGCACTTAAACTGATAATTATATTTTTAGATGGTTAACATATGCTGCTGCCCTCATCTACAAGAGTACTTTGCTATCACACCTGTACTCCTTTCTATTTTACAACGTATCAACCACAATCTACTGAAGCCA